TTTTGCATTGCATTTACCAATCTATTATTACCCTCGTCCTCTCAAACAAGTTTTCTACCGATACCGAAAGGGAATGGTCCGAAATGGTAGGTTTGGTTGACCTGGGCGGGTATCGACTTGGGTAGGATTCGATCACGGAACTATGCGTGAGATGGTGAACCTCTTGCCAGTTATCACTTCCTTCGATAATGTGAAGTGCAAGTATTTACATATTTATTGCCACATTTTGTTGGTCAAAATTAAAGCCTTCGGGTCCGATGGGATGAATTATTGGCATTTCCCTGAAAACCAAAAATCAGACTTTTGAATGCGTGCTCGGCCTAGGCCTACGCAGTCCCTTGTGGATCAGTGTGGGAGCAGCTCGGCCTAGGTCTACGCAGTCCCTTATGGATCAATGTGCGAATAGGTTACTGTCCTTTCGGGAAAACGAGTTATCGAGTTATCAAGTAAAGAAGTAGGATCGCAACCTTGGTTGACTCCTTCGATAGTGTTGTGAGCAGTCAGATCACAGTCCACTAAGTTTGGGTAAACTTTTTCAACCTGAATAACGAAAGTGCAGAATAGTGTATTGTTGACTAAGAAATCGCGGAAATTCGCAGCATGGGGGAAATGCAATGGCTCCAAAACTAGTTAGAATAGAGGTAGTATGAACCTGTAACGAGGAACATGGTATGGAGGGGGTATTGGGACGAGATGTTGCATAGTGAATGAGCTGGCTACGCTAAGCCTACTACCATGAATTGCATTCTACTGTCGCCATTGTTCGGGACTGCATGCTATCAGGATTTTGGGCTACTAAAACCTTATGAGGTTATATTTTTGTTGTGTTATTGTAACGTCGTTTTTTCAATTTATTTGTTATTTTTTCAACATTTGCGCTCCATTGTAGGTGGTGCATCCTTCTTGCCATTGAAGCACGGCTACCTTTGGGTTGGTATACAATGGGGTCAATTTTTGGCCCTTATTGCGTCCTAGTGACAGATGGTGCATTATCCCATGGTCTAGAGTTGGAATCCCGGATCGGTAGTCGACTAGTCCAACTGAGCCTTCCATCCCATTGCGGTCTAGTTAATTGGCCCCAAACTCAACTGGTGGGGTTGTTTCTGGCGTTCCCGGCCACCACAAGTCATTGAATGGGCCACATACGCATTCAGTACGCCACTGCGATTCTGAATGGAAGTCGAACGCTGGTGTGCATTCCAAAAAATAAGTTGATGAGCGCTAAAGACTTCATCCTTTTATTACGCTCTGTCTAGGTAGGTTTTTGACTCAACAACGACCCAAGTGCTATCCCAGAGGTTCGTCCGAGCAGAAAACTTCGGAAACCGTTTCTTCTCGTGGACAATGCCTTTAACGAAGCTGGATCTCTGGTCACTAAACTATTTCCGCAAAAATAGCTATTGTATATATCATTACAGAATAATTTACATAGGGTTTTTATTCCTTTCGTACTCTTTATATGTATTGTACGCGTTTTAAGCTGACACCAATTTTAATTGGCCTGCAACAGATGTCTGAGCTTGTTAGAGAATTGGGCCTCGTTCAGGCCAGTGAAGGCTTTCACTTTTTCCAGATCTAACCGCTATTGATGTCGTCAAGGAGATTGACAGTTCTGTCACAAAAAGAACTGATTCCTTCGCATAACATGCAGACAATTAGATGGATGGCCTTGAGATCTGAACTGATATCACTGACCCGGAAGTGTTGTTGGGCAGTGGATGTTCATTTCAAACTGACCTAACGGATAGTGACTGCTAGAAGACTTTTGGGGCAAACTCGCCCTTCATTTTCTTTCCATCCACTCCGCTTTTCCTGAAAATTACTTGAGATGATCAATGCTATTTTCTGAAAGTTTTTAATAACCCAGCAAATGGGCAGGTTCTGAAGGTTTCATTTTTCGGGTCGTTTGATGGTTCTCTCGCTCGCTGACTAATCTCTTTACGGCTCTATGAAGCGTAAAAGGATTAGTCATCCCTTCTCATGCTATTCACTGCTTGGTGGAAAGGCCACCATCCTATTTTCTTGATGGATGTTTGAATTGCGGACAAGATCGTAAATATCCTGTAATATTAATATAATTACATAAATTTTATTGTGACTATCAGAAGAGTGGAGTTTTAGTTCTGGGTGTATTCTTTTTTCAATTGTTTTTTATCTTAAAAATATAATTTTACAATGCATGCACAGTTCACGAAAAAATGATTTCTCTGGGACATACTTCTGAAGGAATCGTTCTCCCCCACCCTACCTCCATTTTCAACCCATATTCCTTAAGTGACACTATGATTGGAAAACGGCCCAGCTATGGCCTTATAGAGGTTGAAAAATTGTACCGGCTGTATGCCACACCCAGAGGCGGACGGGTTTTGACGGCGTTGCGTAGGTTGCACCATTTACGAGGGGCACTCACATAGGAAGTTCAAACATTTAGTAGTGACGCCTGGCGACAGTGGAAGGTTTTGGTCTAAGGTAGTCAGCTCTTTATGCAATGGCAACCTTGCCCGAGTAACAATTCCTAACCATTTCCGTGATAGTGATCTCATACGTCTATTTTCGCTCCATTTAAGAGCCCTTATAGTTCGTGAAATCTGCGAATTTCTTGCTTTTTTCGTCACCTTTACGCTATTGTCCAGCAACACTTCCGCTTTTCAACTTAAAATGGGTGTTTCAAAGTTATCGTAAATGTGCCTAGAAGCTGAGGCATGAGGTTAAGGATGTGCCAGAATGCGGTGAGAAGTCGCCTAAAATGTGAATCCAGTTGAGATTTTTCCATTTGCTGGAACTAAAAGTCAAGTGGTAGTTTTCTATCAGAAAAATAGCGATCATGCAGGTGTGTATGTATTTACATACATGGATTATACAATTAGCGGTACGCTCTTCACCGTCCCGCGATTGGGAAACCTTTTCAAATTAATCGACATACATACGCGCAGTTTGATCGCAGTAGAGTGTGTGGCGTATCCAGTAAACATCCCAAATATTTGCTCAGTCTTTGTGTTCCTAATTAGCTGATTTATCTTGTTGGTTTCCAGTGGTGATCTTGAGAGGAACCAGACTTTCCCAGAATGATCTATGTATGTACCAACCTTCACAAGGAAATAAACTGCCGAAATACAGGAGTATCCGGTCTATCTGAACAAAGCCCAGATAATGGCAGAGCTGAAGGGATTTTCCCAAAGAAGAATGGGTCTGACTAGGCAGTATTAGTACCATACCGAGAACATTCGTCAACATGATATTGAAAAGAAGAAGCTTTTTGAGAACGGTCATCGTCCATCTCTTTCCCCATTAAATTCCATGGCGCAGGGAAGCATGTCGTTCGAAGGCATGAATGTGAATCGAGTTTGATGGATTTTTACACCGATTCATTTGGGCGGCCACAGTCTTATGGAGTTCAATAGCATCGCTTACTTCGCAGAAATGGGACACATTTGAATGTGTTACGAACTAAAAAGTGTCATGAATTCCCATATGGTCGAATGTTTGAGGGAACATTTTCAGGGAGATTGTGATCACGTGGGAGAATCGATTTGACTAGAAAGTCGCACTAACGGAGGATAACATTTACATCGAATAATTTGTTCCTTACTTCGGCATGACAGCTTCTTTTGATAATAAGCTTCTCCTGAAAAGCTGGAAACATCTCCAATCTCTTGATTCTTCGGGTCGCTACATTTATAAGACAGAAATGTATCCTAATACCGTCGTGCATGCCGTAAACGTTTAAGCTAGTATCCGCTCTGTATCAATAGGCTTCGGCTTTGGACTTTGGTTTCTATTACTTGGAGAGTTGTTCGTCTTCATATTTCTAATCAGGTTCATTCTGTTCACTGCGGGAATTCCCTTATGCTCACCCATCTGTGCGAATTTGTTCTTCTAGTTGGCTCAGGCTGGTTCCCCCTCACTAGACATGCAACGAGGCAATAAGTAAAAAGAGGAGGTTGGTCGACGATGGTGGCAGCACACTCAGTCGCCAGCCATTCTTCACTTAACTGCCTGCTACCCGTCATTGTTGAAAAGTTTGCCTTTTGATGCAACGTTTCCTATTTGAGTGAGGCTATGTTCCTGAGGTTTTGAAGCGATTGCAGACATCATCTCTCCAGAGTCATCACGTTTCTACTCTGATTTTGATTTTATCCATTTAACCATTTTCCGGTCTCTATATTGGTGGTCTCATCCCCCTTAAATGAAGGTTTTTATCGACTTTCTGTTAGCTTTCTTTAGGCAAAGCAAAGACCTACTACGAAGGTTTTCATATTAGTTTCAGGTGATTTATGAAGTAGACCATCTTGATGTTGTCCGCAAACAAAAGCTATCAGCGAATGGGTCCGGAACCGGGCCTACCGGGTTCTCCCCATGTCCTATAGCATTTAGACCCAAAAGTCAGCGAAGCCACCTAAGGCACTTTGTTTGTGACAGCCCCACCAGTCGTGTTTTTCGAATCTGACTATCAAGGGCTTATACAAAAGAGCCTTGCTTACATGGGTAGCGCTATACTTGCAGAGAGTATTTCAAATATAAAGGGATTCGCTAGAGAAGAAATCGAGACTAGATGTTTTATTTTGTTGGTTTGTTTGATAAAATACTCAGTTTACGTTTCTTGTCTGCACAGCCTCCGTAAACTGACAGACAATCAACTAACAGAGCGAAATTGTAAGTTGCTGAACAATTATGTCAATGTGGTCAGCTCCAAAATCTTTAAGCGAACTTGAAATGGCATGCTTACAAATTTGCTTCACCACTTGAACTAACCCTTGGAAGTTTCTAGAAGAAAACGGAGGTGGGTTCAGTGTCGGCTGGAACCATCTCTCGGTGGTCTCCTTTTCACAACTAGCAGCTGTTGTCCTCCTTTCTTGTTGCAATTAAATTGATGGAAAGTATATTGTCTTTTTCATAGGCGAAGACGGCAACAAGCTCAAGTTGAAATGTATGCACGTACTGATCATCTCCTATAATAGCTACCGTAGAATGTTATCCTCTAACGTTGCTTTGCAGAAGAAATGGGATGGCAGTCCTACGTGGTGCCGATATTGGGCAGCGCCGCGGTCTCTACAGCAGCCTTTTTACTTGGAGCCCTTGGCTATTCCTACTTCTGGATTGGTCTCATTATCATCATGAGCGTCACGAAGAGCTATTTATGGAAGAAACGACAGAAACGGTAGGAGTTTTTTTTGTGCTGAACAACCATATCTCCAGATTTTTATTTTACAACTAATGAATTACTTGGCCGTTGAGATTTCTTATGTTATCGTAGATGGACGGAGTACAGTTCAAAATTGTGTGAGAAGAGTGTGGGTGGGTCTTTCATCGACAGACAGCCAAACAGAGACGTCCTTTCTCCTTGGCATTTGCTAGGGGGACGGAACTTACGTGCGTGATGCGCGCGGCGAAATGCGTAACGCTTCGAACGGCCCTGGTGCCAGCCATTTGGGCCCAAATTTGATGTAGATCAGATTATTATGGTCAGCTGATCCTACTAACCTACTCTTGTTCAAGTTTATGCAGCAATAATAGACGCCAGAGTCGCTCGAATCGCCACGCACGTATGTACCCATACCCCATTTGCTAGGGCACCTTTGAATGGAATTACTCAAAATCGGTATTATGACAGTCCAACACGCAATAAGGACCTTAATGTCCGGACAACTCGCGGATGCTCTTTTCATGAATTTCAGCAAATTCTTGCTCTTAGTTCAAATGAATAGTCAATAACTTATTGAAAATCAGGTTACTGGCCTTACGTGCAACGGCGGTGCACGAACGGGAAGTGATCATGGCTCAGCTGCAAGATTTGCCAGCATGGGTTCAATTTCCGGACACAGAACGAGTGGAATGGCTGAACAAGGTAGGTTTCGCTCCGATTTACACTTACATTTACATTTTCTCCGCTATTCATCTGACATAAACAGAGAAACGAGCCATGATCTCGAACCATCCAGAAGTTGCTGTTGCAATGTTCTTCCATTCTGTTCCTGCGAACGTCTTGAAATTATCATCCCTCGTAACGTGGTCCTCGCTTTGGTCTAATACCTAGGGCTTCCATTTCATCAGCCTTACTTAATATCGTGCAAGTAGAACACTAAAGGCTCTCTCTTGGTGCGGGCTTGCTCCTCTGTGTGTGAGCTAGTCTAATGGCATTTGGAATTAACTGGAAAATTAAAGGCACAGTTCACGATAATTTTGGGTAATCCAGATTATGATGTAAAATGGAAGACAAGATCGAAACTAGTGCGACTGAGGTGGAGAACTGCGAGCATCGGTGTTTCCATAGTGAAAAAAAGGCTTGCAATACCGTTAAAAAGAGGGCTGGACGATAATGAAACAAGAAAAATGAAGAAGAGTGGGGCGTCCGGACGAGCTAAACAGTGTGTTTCACTACGCGTGTGTGGGTCCTGGTGCGAATAACAGACAATGGTAAGCAAAAATTCATTCACTTATAAGCATAAGTAAACAAAAAAAACCCTAGTCACGGCAAAAATAGCTCATCTTTTTCAGCTTCTAGGAGTAGGAAATCAAATAAGGGATCGCGGCAGCAAAAAGAAAAACAGAGGAAAAAAGAATGGGAGAAAANTACGCGTGTGTGGGTCCTGGTGCGAATAACAGACAATGGTAAGCAAAAATTCATTCACTTATAAGCATAAGTAAACAAAAAAAACCCTAGTCACGGCAAAAATAGCTCATCTTTTTCAGCTTCTAGGAGTAGGAAATCAAATAAGGGATCGCGGCAGCAAAAAGAAAAACAGAGGAAAAAAGAATGGGAGAAAAACATCGCCTCATCAGTCGGCGATTAGCTGACTGTGCGTGCGTCCTAGAACGAATAATAGCAATCTGTATTGTCTCGACACTCGTCTAAGGTGGCACCGATCGAGGGGCGGGAAAGCGAACTACGGCAGCAACGGGGCTTCCACTATGCCCCGAGCGCCGAGATTGTGGGAGCGAGAGGTTCCCTTCTACCACCCATGGGGGGCGCTGAGTATTCCTAAAGAAAGAACTCAGTAACCTTTTTTATCGTGAACCCTGCCTCTAACAAGATCGGGTTTGGAAGTAGTATGGTAGTTTTACTCATGTGCCCTGCACATGCAAAAATGTTCTTAAGTTTGGTGAATCCATTTCCGAGCAATCCATATTCTTGGGTATTCTCACTTGAGCCCAACCCGCAGGCGATGAGCTGTAGCTGTTCATCCGATACCTTGATGGTGTGAATCTGTCAACCGTTTTTTGGTGCGTGACTTCCTCTCCGAGGTCATCGCGTTGCAAGGAAGTCACTGAGCCCGGGTTTCTTGAAGGCACAGTTCAGTTAAAATTGGTTTTTGAGATTTCTTCCTAGGATGAACCTGTGACCCCCAAGGATAGCATAAGGGGCGCTGTCGGGTCGGAAAACATCCTAAGATAGGGCGTAATTAAGGTCACCCAAAACCGACGTAGCCGCAGAACACATCCAAGGCGAACGAGTTGCTAAGCGTTATAAAAGCTGTGGACTTGCACCATTCGCACCGGGACCCACATCTTGCACGTGGACAGCGTATTGCAGCCAGCTGTATGTAATGGCGCTCGTGTTCGAACAGCTCGTCCGAATACCCCTTTAATCCAGCTTTTTCCTAAGTTTCTCGTCCAACCCCTAATTTGACTCCTTTATTGAAGCCTTACATTACTTCTGAATACACAGATTTCAGCGTTTTCTTTGCCACTTCTTCGCTATTCTGGAATATCACTACAATATTCGTTTTAAACTGGGAAACACAAAATGATCGTGAACTATGCCTATAAATGGCAAGGCGTCCAGGAGTACCCACAAAGTCGCTTGACCTTTCAACATAGTTTGGGCGCAGTAACTCTGAAGGGGTTTGTGTATCTGCTCGGCCTTACCGAACTCATCGGTAGAACATTTTGTAAAAATCATTGGTCGTGCACGTTTTCTATAAATCGTTCCTTCTTCAACTGGATGCAAGTTTCGTTTTCGTTATTTTTTATTTCCAAGTGCCTCTGAACTTACGCTCCGCAGTCAGAGGGCCCCAACTGTGAGGTCAACCAACATTTCTATGCTATTCATTTGTTTACTTTCAGGTTATTCTACAACTGTGGCCGTATGTTGGTGAATACGCTAAAGTTTTCATGACAGACTTCATCATTCCTCAAGTTAAGGTAACTTTCTAATGAGATTTTTGATTTGAATGTAATGAGTCGATTGATTGAGTCTGATTGATGGGCTTCTTTTTTCATTGGTGAATAGTTTAGTCACTTGACCAGAGGCAAAGCGATTTTTTTTGTTTCTAAATGGGTAACGCGATCAGATTGTGCCCTTGCAGCAGTTTCCTTATGGTTTCATGGCGTACTGTGACTAATTCCACCTAGTGTCTCTTCTACAATTTTTTCATCTGGAAGCGCGAGCCAAAACCAAACCGGCAGCGTCGTACCTGCACCCCCCCCCCTCCCTCTGTTGTGGCCTTCGCACGTTCCTCTCCGTTAGGAGCAAGCTGCTTTACCCAGTGGGAAAATGTTTCAGACGAGGGTACCGCGTCCCCTACTTCTTGACCCGTTTTTAGTTTTTCTTTAGTAATTCCCCTACTTCTTGACCCGTTTTTAGTTTTTCTTTAGTAATTAAATAGAAAACAGTAACCTCGTTTGCTTATCTTCCTTTAAATGGAGTACCAGTCAGTTGTGCCAATGGTGAGGAAGCCCAATTTTTAGGCCCAGATGCCTGGAGTTTTCAAGAACTTCAAATTCACTAAAATGGATATGGGCGACATACCGTGTCGTGTTGGAGGAATCAAAGTAGGTTTTGGAGAGTTCCCCTCGCTTGAGGGAAAGCAGCCATTTACGCATTGATCGCCTACTTGGATTCATTGATTGGTCCTCAGGTCTATACAACTAATGTCGGACGAGATCGCATTATCGTTGATATGGATGTGGCCTACGCCGGCGATGCAGACTTCACTGTATCGTGTTGTGGATTCACCGGTGGTATGAATAGCATCCAGGTAATGTTCAGTATTTCGCCGAAACCCCTTGTTCCCAGTACAAGTACTATATAAGTAATGAAGCCACCAGTACAGTGAAGTTAGCACTAAAGCATCTTTTCACCTTTAAGTGTACCCCTAAATTAATTGGGTTGAGTCCGACGGTGCATCTCATGAAAGTCGACTCGTGCCCTTTAACACTAAGCCACTTCAATTCGCACTTCACATTTGAGAAGCTGTTAAAGAAAGTCATCGAATAGTGACTTTTTAGATCAACGATGGCTGAAGGATGTTTTCTAGGCTTACAGTAAGGTTCGGGCGGAGGTGGTGTAGTGGGAAGTGGCGCACTATCGCGCGCGTCCATCAAAACTAGGTCACGCCGCAGCTGTCGCACGCGACGTGTCAGCCCGCGATCTTTGACAAACGTCGCAGTTGTCAGTGGGGCATAGGACTTGCGCTCGGTCCACGGTAGTCAGCTCAAAGAGAAGATAACACGAACGAATGCAAATCATTCGCTCCACTGACAAGTGGTGGTACTGTAATGTCACCGTAAGATCTTAGTGGGCTGCGCCGCGCGCGAAGTAGGCGGGAAAACCTACTTTTGCGCGCGCAACGAAGGTTTCCCGGTACCAGACTCGTCTGGGAGGATAAAAGCACCGACTTGTACATCGAGTGGCCACAGCAAGTCATTGAATAGGCCACATACGCACTCATTACGCCACTACGATTCTGAATGGAAGTCGAGTACGGGGGCTTATTCCTTAGACGGGATTGCTTGACCCAAAAGTTTTATCTCTTATCCTTTATACACTAGGGTTCATGAGCTAGGGTAGCGTGCAGCCCTGTACTAAGAACGTCATTACAGTATGTATAAAAATTGATTCGATAGGAGCAGAGGAGCAATGATATATCCTATGCTTGATCGTTTTTGTAAGAGACGTACCGTTTCTGTTAGTAACCCAACATGTTAGCCAAATTCGGTCTTCAAAAGGAATTATATGTGAGATCAAATTTTTAGTTCTCTGGAAAGCTTCGAGCTGTTCTGAAGCCGTTGTTGCCCTATCCTCCTATGGTTGGGGGTGTTTCGGGCTCTTTCCTCGAGATGCCGGTTGGTTTAACGATTTTCATTCCAGTCATAGTCAGGTAGATATTCCTAATCGACACAAAAATGGAGACTGTTTTAGAAAATCGATTTCAACTTGACCGGAATGGGTGAAATGGTAGAACTGCCTGGGTTGATGAACGCCATCCGTAGTGTTATGAATAGCCAGGTTTGTTGACGATTTTTTGATGCAGTTCTCTGTAGAGTTTTACAAATAAGAAAAATTCTGAAGGCTCCGTTCAATTGAACAAATATATCAAAGAAATAGATAGAATAACAAAACATCATATCAAAGAGATCTTCATAAAATTGTCTCCTGACGCTTTCATCCGAACGCGAAATGATGAGGTTTTTCACCCCATGTTCCAAAAAATGCTATGTGATGGTCAATGAATCGGTTAGAGTTTAAGCCGAACTGGGGTATAGAAGTAATAAAATGGGTGATTTCTGTCCAAAAGTAGTTGATTACGTGAGATCCATTAAGGTAGCAGCCCTATGTGTTTTACCGAATGAGATCGTCGTGCCGTTGGCTCCCAATGTTGACGTCACAAAATTGTTCTTCCCCGAGCCCGACGTGAGTTCCAGCTTCGCCCATCAACTCACCATTACTGCGACTGGGCATTTTTTCAGGGAGTAGTTCGTTTGAAAATCATCGAAGCAAAAAACCTCGAGAATCGCGACATTTCCTTCATCAGGAAAGGGAAAAGTGATCCGTACTGTGAAATTCAAGGTAGATCTACATGAGCATGTCTCTAGAACTTTGTAACTCTCAGTATTCATTTTTTCAGTTGGATCACAATTCTTGAAAACCCGTACCATTGACAACGATTTGAATCCTGTATGGAATGAGTATTTTGAGGCAGTTGTTGATCAGGCAAGTCATGGTCCGTTACTACTTTGCAATGCCGATGACTAGAAATGATTTCGAGATTTCCTTAACGATCACAAGGCTTCTAGACATCTCAAACTGATGTTTTGACTGATGGAATTTATCTTATACTTGTGCTTCTCGAACTTTCCGTTTCAAGGCTCACGGGCAGAAACTCCGGATCGAGCTGTTCGATGAAGATCAAGGTCAGGATGAGGAACTTGGCCGCTTGAGCATCGACCTGAAGGACATCCAGTCTAAAGGAAGCATAGACAATGTGAGTAAATACGGTTGAACTGTGCTAGGTTCTGCTCATGAGCCCATGCTCTTTGAAAAACGTGCAATATCTCTGATCAAGGTTCATTCTTATAAGGTTTCGGGAAGCTGGGGGTCAGACAATTTCACAAAAAATTATTAGTCGGTTTAGATGCACTACTCTTTTGACTTCAAATGTCCAGTACATAATAAAGCTATTTTCTGCGATGTTCCCCACCTTAGGATAAACCTGATGCACCGAAGGATAGTGCACGGGACATTGATGGCCGACGGGCTTGTACTGGGCGCAATGGGAGTTCCAAAAGCGGTTTGGCCTACGGACACACCCAAAAGTGACCGTGTTATGGCGGCCTTTTTGAGACTGCTCCAATCACACTGAAGCGTTAGGACGCCGGTGAAAAATACGCCCATGTGATGTACACCCTGATATAGACGCCATCGCATATTTTCTCTTTCCTTTCCTTTATGCTCTGAAGTGCGTAATCAGTAGCATGAATGCCCAAAGGAAAGCATTTGTTGTGTATTGTCTGCTCTTTACGCTACTGCGCCAACAGGCATCTCGTCCCAGTACCCTTCCTTGCCACTTCTGTCGTCATAATCTCGTACAAGTCCCTTTTTACCTCTTTTTTTGTCTTATATTTTATAGATCCGTCGAGTTTCGCGCTTTCTTCGTCACCTTCGCTCTGTTCTGCACTACAACCTCCATTATTTCATTTTTACTAGAAAGCACATAATTATAGTGGACTAAGCCTTTATTTCGGTAGTAGCGAGTTTTGAAACTTATTGTCTGATCCGTCCTTGGTCTAGGAACTTTGGTCTAGGGAGAGATGAATAGCCCTTAAGAATGATTACGCTAGGTTAAGAATTTGATCAACATATAGAGCTTCTAAACTCTTAGTTTCGTTCTATTCGGGGCTTACAAACTGTCTTGAGGCAGTCGGCGATTTCTAATTCCAAGCATTATAAGAGCTCGTAAGCGTCGTGCTCCTCTACTCCCCCATCCCAAAAGCGTCAAGTCATTGAGATTTCAAGATTCCCTTGTGCTTAACAATAAACTTTCATGTTTCACTGAAAGACATGGACACCTGATTCCAGTGGTTCCCCCTAGAAGGCTGTAAGCACGGTGATCTACATCTCAAGGCGACGTGGATGAATCTGTCGAAGGATCGCAGCCACTTGGAAAAACAGCAGTGGGAGTCCGAATGGTTGCAAGCCGACAAACCAATCCATCCAGCTCTTCTGATGGTTTANCGATTTTTTTTGCAGTACCCAAAGGCAAAACTTGAACCGTCTCCGTTCGTTGAAGTAACGCTCGGTGAAAATGCTCAGCGTACTCCAGTCAAAGTATGTTTTTGGAGTTGTTTTATGGTTTGGGAACTTACAACGATATCCTTTTTTGTTGTTATCTTATGGTACAATGCTATATTTCACGTTGTCATTCATGAAACTACATATATTGTATTCTTCTGAAGGCATATGGTTTCAGGTGAAGACGGTTAATCCACTCTATCAGTCGAAGTTTTTGTTCTTCGTCAGACGTCCCGATGGACAAGAGCTGAAGTTCGAGGTGAATATTTATGTTCGTCTTTCAAAGTTGACCGATGTTTGTGCATTTCATTTCCGGCCCCCCTTCGATACACGACCGCCTAGCCAGGAGTTCATATAAGCTCAGGACTTAAACGTTAAGAAGTGGCCGCTTTCATTCATTGCCGGTAGACGAAAAGCGGAGGAGTTGACTTCACTCAATGATATACCGCCACCCATAAATCCTGTGATTCATGCTCGTAATACTCTGTAGGACCTCAAACTTGCCTAGTTGCTTTCGCTCTTCTTCACATATGAACAGATGCCTAGGCGCTAGACCTTGGGATGGATGTGGTGCGGTAGGAACGAAAGTGTCGCGTCGCGGCGAGGAGACACCGCGCGCGAGGGAATGTAGCAGAATGCAGCAGCAAGTAAGAAATACGGGAACAAAAGAACAATAGTAGAATCATGCCAAAAGTAATAATTGCATAGGGATTGAACTGTATGAAGAACGCTAGAACTGTTATAACGAGGCAAATAGTCCGCGATAGCCGCGTGCGGCGAATCGACTACACAGAATGCCCGTCTCCCCCTTGGGATAGGTCGCATGCCATATATCTCGTGAGGTATTGGCTGGGTAATGGCGGTCAGTGAATGGGCCCCTGGCGGCCATGAGGAAGAAGCGCACACAGCTTCCCATCATAATGATCGAGGAACCTCATATTTTCTTAAAAATGTTTGTCTAATCACTCAGTATTTTTCTAATGCGCTCACCGCAAGATGTCCTGTGCGATCACGTCCGCTTATATGAGGGAGGGTCAAAAGACTTGATTCCGTGGAGCTTTTAGATGAAGCCTTTTCTTTTGTCCCTTGAAAGTTAAGTTAAGATGGAGCAAGAAAGTAATAAAAGTCAACTTCAGTGGAGCTAGATCGAACAGGGGCCGGCTTCTCGTTGGGAGCCTTGAAAATGCATATAAACCAGATGGTAAAAGACTTTTCCAGTGTCCTGATCCAGGCGACGGTCGCCTATCAATATCTCGTCGTGTCACCGTCTGAAAAGACTCCCTAACCTAACCCACGTCCCTAAATGGTTCTGGCTCAATAGGGAACGAAACATTCACCCAGTTCTGGATGGACGAGGCAAACTGCGCGACGAAATTCGTGCTTAATTAAAGGCACCGTTAGCAATAAAATTAGGGTACCCTTTTTGACGGGAATCGATAGAACTACTCTAGAATAAAGTGATAACAACGAAAAAAGCGCAAAAAAACGATGAACAAAAAGAATTACAAAGGGTCAAAAAAAGAGCTGGAAAGGGGGGTTGGACGAGTTTCACATTGAAATACGGCGGTTAGGGAGTGTTCGGGCGAGTGCACGAAGGCAACGCAATGTGTTGTCTGCAATAGCAGACAACACATTGCGTCTCTGGCAATTTGCCAACCAGCTTATCGACTTTTCACCAAGTTCGCTCCAATGCGAAAGTGGTGAACGGCAATTAGATTTCGTAGTCAGCCTAGCGAGGGGCGGAGGGCGACCGTGGATAACTCTCCGGCCCCTTATTGTGCCCTATCCAGCCGTTTTCTGACCTCATTCCTGCACAAATGGTATCAGAGGGGGCGTCGAATTCAAACCATGTGCAAATCTCCGAAACCATTTTTTCGTGAACAGTGCCTTTAAACGACTCTGATGCCTATCATTGGGGTACAAAGCTGAAGTAGGGTAGATAAGTAGCATCAGCTGGCCCTACTCATCCAATCTATTTAAAACCTGTGCCCCAATGATAGGTGCCAAAGTCGTTCAAGTCACTACGGATTTCGCCCCCAATTTGCCTCATCCACCCAAAATTGGGTGAATACAACCCTTCCCTTGGTCAAGCGTACCCAGCAGTATGGGTTAGTGACTCCGCACCGTTAGCTCTAACTGCGTCAAGGGTCAGGCATAGGTGATCGGTCACACAGTCCTATTTACCATTACCCTGTGTTGTTACAGCGATACCGTCTTAACGTACTATTCTACGATGAAACGTTTATTTTGTAACCACCGGAGCAATAATGAATCACTAAATCACCCCTACTTTTTGGTTTATCATCTGAATAAGCCAAATATTATAAGGTACATCAACATATTTTTGCTACATCTGCCAGATAGTCTAAAAACCTTTTGAAGAGAAATTGAAAAAAAATTGACTGATTCAATTTACTATGACAGTTTTTCCATAGGTGTATGCACAGGACGCATCAAGAACCTTGTTATAAATAGTAAACACAGTCAATAACAAAAACAAGCGAAAATCAGTAAGTCTTCCCCTATGATATGACAACGACTATTCAAACAACAGGTATCTGAACAGAAAAAGCTTCCATCACCTGAACACCCTTACTCCTTCAATGAAAAAAAAACATAGCCAGCCTCCAAGAGGAAGAATCGTAACCATTAACAGAGTAAGCGCTAGATACTTCAACTGGGTCAGTATAGTCCTGAATCTAGCTTAACGTTAGGGTCGTATGCTGGAGGGAAGTTTTGTGAGGGATTACTATTGTAACCGCTGAACGCGGTTGTCTGAACATATTGAGCGAAAAAGCAATTCGTTTAGCCGAGTTAGCATGTACAAGAGCTTTAGCAATTTGGTAGAGTTACAGGCAATCGACGACGGCACTCGCCGACCACTGGGCACCCTCACGTTGTCTTTGAATCGGCTCATGACGGAGCCACAGATGGAGTATTACCAGCACACGTTCATGCTCACTCTCGGGGTTCATCAGAGTCCAATTGTAGTAACCGTCAGACTGAGGGTACGTAAATTGATCTTTCTCCGATCAATTGTGCTTTACGATAGCGTGTTGCCAGTCGGTTTTCTTTTTTCTTTTCTTTTTTTCTTTTTTTTCGGTACCACTTCTGCTCACTCATTTTTTTCGAATGAACAGTGTTGATTTTTATACTTTTATACCCTACTATATATAACGTGCTAAGTTTGTCTATGAGTGGCTGTGTGCATATGGGATACGTATAACTGGTATCTGTGTGTGTGTTTCAGTGTCTATATGTGTCTGTGTGTCTATGTGAATGTGTAGTATATGTATATGTTCGTATGTATGTGTGTGCCCAGGGATGTGTTTGTGGAGTGTATTTATGTGTGGGTATCGGTGTATGTCTGTGTGTCGATGTATATGTATGTATATGTGCCATGCATATCAAATCTCCTGAGAAAAGGAGGTTCCAAAGCGATCCAAGTATTATAACAATACTACGAGCTATTCGGAAAATACTCTTGCTGTAGTGCATGAATAGAGGAGATCTGGATGGTTGAAATATTAACTCTTTGTTAGGTGATAATATTCTTGGATTTGAACTTAGAAAAAGAAGCATTTTCAAAGGCATGCTTCACGATAAACATGGTTTTGAAATTTCCCCATAGGATGAATTTGAAGCTTTCTCTTGTACCATTTCTGGCGCTATCATGTCTGAGAACGGCCTAGTTATTAAGGCTCAAAGATTGTCTCTTTTGTATCCTCGTACGAGTTTCACTGGCATTGTAGAGGCCGCACAGATCACAAGGGAACCCATGTAGGAAGTTCAAACAACTTGTCATGATCCACATCGAAAGTGAAAGGCAGTTCTGTACACTTTGGTTTGATGTAGTCGGCTCTTTGTGCAATTGCAACAACTGAAATCTCGTCCGAATACCCCTTCCAAGTTATTTCCGTTATGGTAATCTCGTCCATCCTCTATTTTTTCTATGTTTTAGGAGCCTTATTTTTCTCAAAACTGGCGAGTTTTCTCGCTTTCTTCCCTGCCAATGAACTATTCCCAAGCTATACTTCCGCTTTTCGACTAGAAAGGGGTTCCTCAAAATTATCGTGAACTGTGCCTTTAAGTGATAATATTCCTGGGTTTGAACTTAGAAAGTGAAGCATCCCTAATAATCGCTCAGAGAGCGTTCGCAACTTACTTCACCCATCAATCCCTCTAACCATATCTGAGCAATTAATGGGCTTCGGAATAATAACGATTTGATACCGAGCGGTGGTTCACTTGCAGAGCCTGTTCTGTGACGGCTCTGCTTACTTGTGTCACGACTACGGTTCGTCGTCACATCGCGTTAACATAATCAAAGGCACAGTCCACAATGATTTCGAGCTGCTCTTTCGAAGTCGAAAAGAGGAATCGGTGGAGAATGTGAATGTGGCACATCGTTGGCGAAGAAAGTGGGAAAAACTGCAAATTTTTCGACATATAACCACTTAAAAGGTAGTGAAAATGTGGGATTATACGAGTTTGTCAACGGATGAGAAACGACGGAATCGGATGCAAGAGGTATCTGAACGGAATTTCAGTCGTTGCGATTGCGTCAGTAGCTGGCCACTGTAAGCCAAAAATTGCCTCCTGTTGTCGCTCTGGGTCACGACTTGTTCGAATTTTCAATATTTGTGTTCCAATGTGGATGGTACAGCCTTTACGTCGCCTTGAAAATTCGTCTTCCTTTCGGTGCGGACGTTCTTGAGGTCCTTGTCCGGTCTTTGAGCCCTTGTTGAGCCCAATTGGGCCTTTTTTTAACTGGCAGCGCCGCATATGCCATGCATAGAAGCCAAAAATTCGTCTTAAGTATAAGTTTCCGAAACTGTTACCATAGTGAATTACGCCTTCAATCCTATTGTTCAATCAGTCAATCAGGTGTATAAAGACAAGCGATTGCGGATGAGAAAGATCTGCCCTTCCTTTAGCCTTCCTTTGCCAAATCAGCGATCTCCATTTCTGCATTAAAGACTTTACTGAACAGCTGGTTGGGAGCTGTATCAACAGATATTCTAATCGTGGCTCTAAAAGCAAATCGGGGATCGTTTTGATAAATGTGAGACCTCCCGATAGCCGATCTCCCTAACCTAATCCGCATTTTTGTTCTAGCTTTCTAAACTGGTGAACTTGTTGCGCTTAGAGGATCTAACTGAATTCCCTCACCAGTACTAGCTTTTCTTGAGTTGCGACAGAGTGAAAAATTGCTTCGTGTGTTAAGTTTACTGAAGCACTAAGCTCCAGCTGACCATATAGCGCTTGAAATTGTTGCTTGAATGTGGACTTGCTTTAGGCAGAAAGGTAAAACAGTTGGTGATGACTAATCTTTCGGATTGTATCACTTATTTGCTACAGTAGCGCTCAAACGTCTTCGGTGAAATGCTTTTACGCTTGTTCGTTCATAACTTTTCTCTTAGTAGACCGAATGACACGAAATTTGAATATGTCTAACTAGAGCATATTTCACCCTACCCAACCCTATTTCACTGCGAAGCTGCAATATCCACAGGTAGAGTAAGTTGTTTGTTGCGGTAGCACATTTTGCTAAAAGTTGTTGGCGTCTGCACTTATTCGCACATTATGTGCGTTTTTCTCATCTATTGTGTTCGGCATTACCGCTCGTACACTTTAGACATGACAAAAAGGAAAGAGATTCTAGNAGGACCATCATCTGTATTTTCAGTCGATTTTGAGTTCATACTCTTTGGAATATCTGGAACACGATCAGATTGCAAGTAAATAGTGGTAAATATTTACAATACACTCACGCTCCAAATATAGAAATTTCGCATGACTGGATCCAGTAGGAAAGGAGTTACGACTGAAAAGTACGGCTGAAGAAGCATTTCACCGAAGACTTCTGAGCGCTACTGTATCTCCCAGAGTTCAGTGTAGTTCATGTGCGTCTTTTCTCAATAACATGAAGTGACAGGCCAGTGATTGTTTCTACATCCACCAGAAAGGTTTTATGAAGTGAACTTGGAGAGATGTACATGAATCCCGCTGAAATCTGATCAGAAAAGTACAAGAGGCTCTCCTCAAGTGAAGGCCCATAGTCAATCTGCCGAACTAGTTTTGATCACTGTGAGATCAGTAAAAGTTCCAAGGGCTTCGAGGGTGGGCCCATTAAAAGGCACTCTTCTGCACCTTCGTTCTTACGGTTTTGATGTAATGCCGTGTTTTCTGTGCGCGTTAGTGACCCAAGTGGTGGACTCAAGTATGTAGGGATGTAATAATGGGAAAGCTTGTTTGTCGTGCTGTTCAACTTAGTCAGCTTCTTCTAGGCCTTCGTACCGGCGTCGATAAAACTAGACGAGTCCGAAGGAACGCAGGAACTCTGGGGTCGTAGAGTAAATCTCTAAAAGTCGTCGGCAGTGAACACCATTGAGCGAAGTTTTGATTTGCTACGAAATATTGACTTTCTACACTAACTGATTCGTCGAGCTTTACGTTTTTTTCCCGGGTTTCTAACTTTGTAAGGACTGTCTTGCTTTATTTAGTTGGCGCTTTCATGGAAGCTTTACAGCGTTCGGGTTCTCCTTGGATCATGTCATCATTGCCATAATACTACAGCACCTCTGTTGTATTCAGCTTTATAAAAGATGCTATTCTTGAGTTTCGCTTCAATGCAGTGGCCTCGATGTGGGTATGGGTGACGGGGTCCGGGAACTTCTCCCCTAACACGGCGTCGCACACGTCGCACCCGCCGCCTATCGCAGGATTGCGATGGAAGATTGGAGCGCGCAATTTGTGAGGTAAGGAGTCCTTTAATTATTTGAATTGGTTGGCCGCTCTTTTCAATTGCAATGCGGTCTTGATAGCCTTTTATATAGGAGGAGTCATTTTGATTAATCAAGTCTAATTAACATGAAAACTAAAAAGAAACAAGAAAAAACGATAAAATCCAATGAAAAAGCAAGCCAGTCAAGGAAAAATATCGCGTCCTATCGATTGGCGGGAGGCGATGTGAGTACGGTAATCGCAGTGACATTTGCCGCATGCCGCAAGGGAGAATGCCGCGATAGGAGAGAAGTTCCGTTACCCTGGGTGACGTGGCAGTCCTCTCGTTCCTGGTCCCATTTGTTCGGTTAACCCTTTGACGACAATGCCACTTTCGACGTGATGCGCCCATGGGACCACGCCCGCTTCCTTTCGTGCGCCACTGGCATTCACCGGTGAGTGCCATGGTCCCAGGAAAAACTCCTTTCTCTGGCCTAATAAACTTAGCAATATTTCCGCATAACAGAAGCATCAGTTTTTTTATCTTATAGTGAACTAAGGACTAGAATCGCACTTCGGGTTTGAAAGCAATGTAGGTTAGAATTTCGGTAATAGTGTAAGCAGTAGGAATTCGTATAACACCCAAGGAACTTGGGGCTGAAGAGATCGACCGCGCGGCCACATAGATGCAAATCAGGAATCCTAAGTAGTGCCTCCAATGCTTCCAGAACACACACAAATCTTGCCAAGGTATCCCAACTTTTTCAGTGCTACTCCATTGACTATAAATGTTATAATAAATAAGCTCCTATAAAACATTCACGTGGACTATGTTGAATATAAATACCATGAAGTTTGTTAATGAATACGAAAATATCAAGTAAGTTTCTATCGTGCAATTTAAGGAAAAAACATGGTAGCACCCATCATTGGGTGCCATGGTCCCATGCGCCAGTGTGCTGGCACCCACCGACGGGTGCCATGGTCGTCAAAGGGTTAACAATTGTCTTGGACCAATATTTTCCTCTTCACTTATACCTGCACCTTTTCTGCATTACTATTTTGCTTCGCTTTTGGTATGTGACAGCAGCGCTACCAGCTAAGCGTTATGTTTTGTGTAATGATTCGCGTCGTCCAATAAAATGTTTCAGAAAATGCTCTTGCATTCGCAGTCCTAATAAAACGGTCAATGATCGAGCAATTCGATTGATTTTTTCTCTTCTAAGGCGGTGGTGGTAAGGTAGCGTACACTCATCCAAACCGCCACCGCTATTTGCTATCGCCCTAATTCTGAATGGAAGCCGAATACAGGCGCATCCTTCAGGATTCATTAACGCCAAAAGATTTTATCCTTTATCCTTTACTTCTTTTTTGAGTAGTTTCCTTCACGAACAAATCCTTTCAAGGATAATACCAGTATCGCATTACTGCTACAATCACAGTTTGTACCATGCCTTTGTGCGATAAATACGTATTCGCGTGAAATCGTGAATGACTACAACATGTAGGGACAAACAGCGTCGACAGTCGATAACTCCTAGCATCAAGAATAAGCCGTTAGATTTGTAATTGTTTTAGGATGCGTCTGCGACAGTAAGCCACGACAGGTGACACATGCTACTTTGACTCCTACAAACCATCAGTTTCCTCGAGGAGGGACTCTGTAGATCTACTCCGTGAAGCACGCATTTTTGTTTGAGGCGACAACCTATCCGATGCCTTTTCTGGTGCTTGTTTTATAGGAATTCTGCAGACAACTTCATGCACCAATGATGATGGCAAAAACGAATGACGTTTTCAGCCCACTCAGTTTCGATCCCTTCGAGAGTGCAACAGTCTTGCCTGATCATCGATTGTTGCCAATAGAACCCAGTAGACAACCTTGAACATTTCGACGAACTATGCTGACCGCATACCCAATCCTGCGTTTGCAGACCACTTGTGTAAAGTTAGGATTAACAACGAAAACACCGACGTGGAAAGCCACACCCATTCGGGAAACCGCACAACTGGTTGCACTGGTTGCAGTGGATGCTGGTTCTTACTTTATTTAAGTTACTCTGGCTTGCTATTACATTGCTGTCACCATGTAAATCCCTTCAATGTAAATCGTTAAGGCATTAACCAAGGGCAATGGAAGCAGTAGTGACAATGGATT